GAACATTCCTTACCAATACATACACAGAACCACTCTAAACCGGATGGGGGCAATTTTTCCAAACGGGGGCGAAAACCGCCACAAATTTCAGAAAAACCATAAAACGTCTTAAGATTGTTTATTTCACCACCTTATATTGTTGGTTGAACTTAGGAGCAACTACTGTGAACATACCATACCAAAACATACACAGAACCACTCTTAATCGGATGGGGGCAATTTTGCCAAACGGGGGCGAAAACCGCCACAAATTTCGGAAAAACCATAAAACGTCCTAAGATGGTTTATTTGAACACCACCTTATATTGTTGGTTGATTTTAGGAGCAACTACTGTGAACATACCTTACCAAAACATACACACAACTACTCTAAAATCGGATGGGGGCAATTTTTCATACGGGGGCGAAAACCGCCACAAATTTCAGAAAAACCATAAAACGTCCTAAGATGGTTTATTTCACTACCTTATATTGTTGGTTGATTTTAGGAGCAACTACTGTGAACATACCTTACCAAAACATACACAGAACCACTCTAAACCGGATGGGGGCAATTTTTCCAAACGGGGGCGAAAACCGCCACAAATTTCAGAAAAACCATAAAACGTCTTAAGATGGTATATTTCACCACCTTATATTGTTGGTTGACTTTAGGAGCAACTACTGTGAACATACCATACCAAAAACATACACAGAACCACTCTAAACTGGATGGGGGCAATTTTGCCAAACGGGGGCGAAAACCGCCACAAATTTCAGAAAAAACCTAAAACGTCTTAAGATGATTTATTTCACGATCTTATATTGTTGGTTGACCTTCATAGTATCATTATAATTAATATATATTATACCAAAAATATTCACTGAATCACTCTAAAATGGTCATATATACTATATACATAGTTTGGGGTAGTAGATGGTTCAACAGTAGATGATGGTTCAACAGTTTATAAATTAAATGGTTAGTTAAAGTTATTAGTTAATTAGTAACGTGGCCATTTACTTGCTTAATTCTCGATGATTTATTTCAATCGTAATTTGTTAATGGCTCAATGTAGAATTAGTTAGAATAAGGTAGATTGAAACTGTTAATATCTCAATATTAGGCAAATTACACGATGGTCCCAACCGCATAACCATGTCACAACCGTGCCATAACCATGCAATAACCATTGCATAACCAATAACCATTGCATAACCATGCCATAACCATGTTAGAACCATGTCATAACCAAGTCATAACCAAGTCATAACTATATCACAACTAAAAAGTGGTCACTAATCGGTACTTCTAAAGTGGTCACTAGCCGATCACTGGCCGGCTTACTGGGGTTACTAGCAATTTAATACTCTCCTTATCAAATTAAGAGGTGGTCACTAGCTGGTCACTAGCCGGCTACTAACTGGCTAGTGACCACTTACTGGCTACTAGCTGTTCACTAGGTGTTCAGTAGCCGGTCACTAGCCGATCACTAGCTGACTACTAGCATAAATGCTCCCTCTTTATCAAAATAAAAGTGGCTATTAGGTGGTCACTAGCCGGTCACTAGCCGGTCACTAGCCGGTCACTAGGCGGTCAATACCCGGCTACTAGTTGAAATGCTCCCTCTCTATCAAATTAAGAGTGGCTACTAATAATAAAGAAGGAGCATTAATTATACTAATAGCTGGTCACTTATAGTGACCGGCTAGTAGATTGTAAGTGGTCACTAGTTACTTGCTGAATTCTCGATAATTTCAACCATAGTTGTTAATAATAACTTTTGTCAGAATAAGTTTGAATAAGGTAGAATAATAGCTCAATAATAGGCAAAATACATGATGGGGGCAAGATTCATATCCGCCACAAAATCTGAGAAAACACCCTCTGGTGCGAACATGTGCGTTGCTGGGTAAATCTGATATTGTAACGCGCGAATTAATAATTTGTAGACAAACTAGCGCGCCGGGAACCATGCGGAATACAGATTGTCTCTTTACGTAATTCAAACTCTGATGACAAAATAAATTGATTGTGACTGTAATAATGGATTAAAAATTACGGCATACAGCAAATCTTGTGTAAAAAAATGTGATTAACAATATTATGTTAAAAAAATTCGCCAAAAAGTTTAAGAACACGATGTCCCGCCCAATTTTCTGAAGTGACAATTTTGGGACTTTGACGGGCTATAACTTTCGCTAGAAGCAGCCATTTCCCCAAAATTTGGTACCATATGACTCTACTCAATGAGACCTTTCCAATAGTGTATAATAAGTTGGGTTTTGAGACATAAAATCTCACCCACAAGTTGGCGCTCTTAGTACATACACTACAGCTAGAGAACGGGTTGAAAAAGTTACGTGACAGTCAAGTGTAGAGTGATTAATCATCATCCGTTGGGATTAGGGTTTATGTAAAACCGTTTTGTACGGCTGCAAAACCAAAAAAACCTAAGTCACGTGAAATTTTTGGGCGAGCGATTTAGTAAGAGCCGTTAATTGACGATGTCAATTCATCGCAGCTCGGTGCGGCACAGTAGCGCATCTCGCCGATGTCGCTGTGAGAAGCCTCATTGAGTGCGCGGCGCGGCACAGTAACGCATCGCGCTACAATGTCATTTACTGGGGCGCGCTCAGCCTATCATCCAGGCTTTAATGTTGTTTACCAACATTAAAGCCTGGGGTCCTCAGGTAACAATGTCATACGTTGTATGACCCGCCGCGCGGCTCCCCTTTATATTGTAGAAACGACAATGGGTTTCACGACGCGATACAATAAAAATGTACATTATACATAATATTAACGGATATTACTCGTTTAAATTTCTTCGAAATAGCGCCCGAGGCACGAAACTTCGAAGTATAAGCGCGCGCCGGGTTAGTCCATTAAATATGGACAAACGCGAACGTCAAACATAGTGCAGTTTGCGCAACGCTACAATTGTAGGTTTATAACCTACCAGGACGCGCGCCGAGTTGGACTCGTCGACGGTCCTAATATATGGAACAAATATTTTACGAGTATCACCCGTTAACGCTACAACAAATTAAAATTTTAAATATTAGATATTGTTTGTTTGTTATTATTACACATTTATTTTAAGTTTGATATTTTAAATTTTGGAATTGAAAAGATACATGATTGTTTAAGCTCAGTTGTAATTCTATTCGGTCATTATCTATAAATGAACATTCACATTTTGATTTGCAATTAAATAGATGCGCGCGCGTTTTGGTAGGTTATAAACCTACAACTCGAAAATCGAGCGCTACAGGTAACTTATATTTCCACCGAAATTTATTAATGGTTTTTCTTGTTCTATTATATCCTGTCATCACTCCTGGAGTAATGGATATTATATGTTTATGCAATAAATATAATAATCAATAAAAATTGTTGTAAAATTGTATTTTACTTACTTATCAACTTCATCATCTTCATCATCAACATCATCACCCCTGTCTTCATCGTTGGTGGTGTGTGCAAGATTTAGGTCCAGTTCGTCAACAGGTATTGCTTTCTCATAATACCGTCCTCTGTGTCCTCTCGCTGCAATCAATACTGTCTTAAGTTTCATGTTCTATTATGAACATTATGCATTTGTCATACTTTAATTTAGTTAGCAGCCGTATTACTGTCTCTCGAATGAATTTTTCTCCACTATTTTTTTCACCATTTAATTCTGAGACTGGTGCTTGTCGATCGATTCTGCGGCCATTGTTTTATTTGAAGTTACCAGCTTTCTGCCTTATTTTCCCTGCAATTAAATACGTCATTGATCGTTGTAATTAGCTAGTATTATTAAATATGTTGATTCTGTCGATCAAGGTGCAATTGGTCATTTAATTGGTATTTTTCCTTGAATTGCGAACGTTTACAATTTGTCTTGAATTACTAGATACTGGTCTTTTGGTGTATCGATTTTATCGGTGTTGGAAAGCTGAATTTAGTTGGCTGTTGTTCTTCTTCGAAGGGGGCTGTGGTCATTAACACTATTGGATAGATCGTGACCACTGTAAGATAGAGCATTGGAGCCCTGTGCTTACCCGGCAAAATATTAGTGGAGAAAAAAGTTAGACTTTGTTTTTCTCCGCATTTAGTGAATCGTTTTGTTGCTTGTATGAAGCCGATGATCCTTGGTAGTGAGAAATTGTCCACTATGTCTGTCACACTAAGATAGAAGGAGTCAAAGTATCCTCATCGTTGGTAAGACCATTTCGGGCACCCACCAATAAAGTGGTTCATTGTCTCCTCTTCCATGCGAACAAGTTTTAGGGACCGTTGCGTTGTCGGCTTGAACTTATTAATATGGTAGTTTAGTTCACAATGTCCAGTAAGGAGCTGTGTAGTGTAGCTGTTCATTTACTCTCTTTGCCAAGTTTCGGAATTGATCTGGTGAACTTATGTCTCCATACTCGTAAGTAAGTAAGTAAGTAAGTAAATATTATGACATAACATCATCACAAGTGTCTACAAAATATCATTGCACTAAATGGAAAAATAATTTAAATAAATATATTTTTCCATCAACATTAATAATTTATCAAATTCAATTTTATTAATTAATAAAATCTAATACATTATATATAAATAATTCATTAAATATATTCGTTTGAAGTGAGTGTTGGGCAACGTTCTGATTTGTGGCATCACATCATACCTTTCGATAATTAAGAGTTGTGTTTGTATTTGACTGTATTTAACAAATATAATATATTTGCCATTCTAATTAATTTACCGTGCATTGATAACAACCCCCCACATTTTTATTCAGAAAGTAATAATCTGATGGCACTGGAAACCATAGAAATAGGCAGGATCACAGATGTTATGTAATGTGGCACTTAAGCAAAGAAACACTTTTCACATGGCCTGGGTCCAGAGCAGCTCAAACTGATTTTACCCTTAATTTTGACTGCATCATCTTTATTTTATAGCATTTTGTATCAATAGTCAGTTCAGGTTTTTGTCAATAGAATCGATTTAATCTTCACAATTAAGCTTTAAATTCATAGACTTTTTCTAATAAATAATCATTGGAATAGGAGGGGAAGTAACTGAAGCCACACCTGACATTGCATGAGCACCAAGGAGGTCAATTCTCTGGTACATCTAACAGCTGGAGCGTAAGTAACCTTTGTGTAGGGCAATATTTAGAAAAAACTTTTTCAATCAATCAAGATAGACTGTTTTCACCTGTTCATTGACTTCTAAGTTTTTCAAGCAGTTCAGCCACTGAAAGGCTTACTCTTCTAATCAGAACAGAAATGTGATACTGCAACCGATATACACACACAAATTATCTTAGCACAATTTTATTATGATTATCCATTCCCAAATATATCATGAATTTTAATTCACCAGCAGCTTTGATTTCTCTTTATTTAATTCTAATCCACACCAAAATGCAGGGCTGGGGGGTTTATCGGAGTAATTGTCACATCGCCCATAGAGCTACTGAAAACAAGACAGCAGGTAATTTCAGCTCTTTGTGCTTGACCACACCTTGTGTTAATTATGTGTATATTGATGTGTGTGCTGTGTATTAATTACAAGGTATTGTTTGCAGGCTAGACAAGATACGACAGAGTTGTAGTGTGTTATTGCTTGCACACAGTTGATACATGACACCCAATTAATGTCATCATAACTAATCTGCAGATTCTTAAAGTTACTAAATAATAAATTGGTGTCTTCTTGGCAATTGTGATAAAGTGCCCATAAAATAAGTTTCCTCTTTAAAGGGTCTAAAATACTCCATGTATGTGGTTATTTGAGAATATCGTCAATTTAATTGAATTAGATAATTTACTGAATGTTGGTAATATAATTACCAACATGGTACGCTCTAAATATATGAGTAGAAAACCTAGCCATCTTTTTAAATATTGAACTGAGTCAGAATATTGAAATGTGATTATGTGTGCATTTATGCACACTGCACAATGTGCAGATTGATGAATTACAGACGAATAATTAACAAGACATTTAATAACTGTGCCTGTGTTTCAGTCGACAGTATCCGCCTACTCGGCCAGCTGTATAACAGGTGGACCAGGACCACGACATCTCGTGGCACCCAGGAACAGTACCAGTGTTACCTCAATATGGAAACAATACAGAACTATAGTCGGGCAGGAGGGATTCAGGTTAGTTTCTGTTTCTCAAAGAGTGAATACTGACGCCGTCAGTAACTGACGGTTTACTGACGCCGTCAGTAACTGACGGTTCATCCGTTCAGATTTTATCCCAAGGATTTTGTGTAAATCCTGCCATGTTGATGTATCCAGCTTGTTTACTTGGTACCCTGTAATAGGTTGCTCTGGTAACTTGTCAAACTGCCAGGATTGATAATATCCTGGTTTGTCTTATTATTATTAGTTAGATAATTACTTTATTAAATTATATATGCATTGATAATTAGAGGAGCAAAGAGCTTGTAACCCGTCTGATCTTCGTGATTATCTAATTACTCCATTGGAATTTAAAAACTTCGAACTCACATTCAATTATATTGTCAAATGATTGAATCACAACAGTGTTTTGGCTGACCGTGTTGACGAAGGAAAAACCTGCCTTAACTTCTTCTGAAATTAGTGAACGTTTTTAATGACGTTAAAGGCCCTTTTCTGATAAACCCTACCTCAGGTCCCTGTTTAAAGGACTGACCCCCTCCGTAGCGGCAGTGGTTTCCAGTAAAGGTCTCTTCTTCCTTGCTAATTCGGAATGCAGGAAACTCGTCCGGAATGTTTGCAGTCAGGGACATATAGTTCATCTAACATCAGGTAAAGTAGCCTAAAGCATCGGGTAGTCCAAGCCCATTTGATAATCTTGTTTTCACGTTGAACAAAATAATAAAATGCGTTATAGAGGATCGGTTAAGCTTTTTTATTAATTTTTTCAAGCAATTTGCCCACTCAATGAGTTTGCAATATATTGTATAAACTTTTATATTGTACAATATATTGTAAAATCCGGATTGGAGTATTATTTATGAGTCGCATTGTTGTAATGTATTCTGTGTAAAATTATCTTTATCCCGGTTGTTGCGACAAGTAAGAGCATTTTTTACTTGTCGCAACAACCGGGATAAAGATAATTTTACACAGAGTACAATATATTGTATAAACTTTTGCACATTTCGGTAACAAGTTTTCTTCTCAGGGACTTTAGCTGGGATTATCAACGCTCTAGCAATGAACCCCTTTTGGGTTGTCAAGACCAAACTGCAGCTCGACGAACGAAAGTATGTACCAAGTTTAGTGAATAAATTTACATGAAAAACTTGTAATAACCTTAAACAAATAGTTGTCGAAGTTTCGGCCCACGCCTTTGTCATGGACGAGACGTTTTCTTCTAAAACATAGTTAGTACTTTTGTACTAAGTGCAGAGGTGGGTCTGCTGCTCATTTCCCAGAAAAACAGTTAGTACATGGTACTAAGGGGGGTGTCAAACCAAAAAAAACCCCATAATTCAACTCTAATTTCAATTTTGGGAATGGGTTTTTTGGGTTTTAGGTTTTTTAAAAGTTTTTTTTGGGGTTTTTTTTGAGTTTTTTCCTTTTTGTGTAACTTTTTATCTAATTCGACTAAATTGAAAACGAAGCACCTACTAAATAGTGGGTATAATTTGCCCATTTCCCAATGTTTAATGAGCTGTTTAAAGCAATTTATGGGTGGGTATCTTATTTTATATAACAAAACACTGTTAGTACCATGATTTCTCAACAGTTACTACCGCAAAAGCCAGCAAAAGGGGTGGGTGTCTTAATTATTATGAATTATCCGAGAAAACAGTTAGTACCGCGAAGGGGGTGGGTGGGTCTTTTGAAAAATTCCAAAATTACACTTAGTCGACGTGCAAAACTTAGTACCTGATTTCACCAATTTTCCTCCACTGTTCAGTGGCCTGAAACGTCTCTGATTAACGTCACTCACTGTTGGAATAATCTAATTTCATGATATAATATCTAAGTTATAAAGTGCCAAGTGGTCAAGCAACTTTACCTACCATGTCAATGTGTTCTATAGAATTATCTCTAGAATATTCTCTCTAAATATTCACATATCAGCCGATCGGTTTAAAGTATGCACGTTATCTTGATATGCTAGTGTACGAGGTTTCGTAGTTTCCTACATGCCGATGAAACAGTTAGTACGTGATAATAAAACCTTTTTATGTGATACAACAACAGTTATATACACATCATTTTACTGATGCGTATCAGGCGACGTGGAAAATGGAAATCGGTCAATGTGAATAAATTGACGACAGCTTAATTTTAATGTTAACTGTTTGTAATTTTCCAATTCTCCGGAAGGCGGTCAGTCAAAGGAAACATCTGCTTAATATGGTAGTCGACATGAGATTCCCGCCAGTATGTGACCAGTTTAAACTGGATCCAACTGTTACATTACCAACAAGCTAACTGTAACAGTACCAACAAGCTTGAGTACTATGCACTTGTGATAATATGCAGACCTCCCGTTAACAAGTCCAATGCTGCGTTTCGTTCAAACTTTTACACACACTACCATTAGAGGGCGTGAAAAAGCTACTCCAACTCTAACACTGAATATTATGTCCCTGTACGCGACTACGTGACTACGCGACTACGTGACTACGTGACTACTACAGTACTACATTCTAATTTCTAAGACTGAATTTGTCTCAGGTGCTCCAGAAGTGCTGTATGGAACACAACCCGGAATCTGTGGAAAGCTGAGAGACACAAGGCTTTCTTCAGAGGTGCTAGTGCTAGTTTAGTGGGTAAGTGCCAGTTTAGTGGGTCAGTGCTAGTTTAGTGGGTAAGTGCTAGTTTAGTGGGTAAGTGCTAGTTTAGTGGGTAAGTGCTAGTTTAGTGGGTAAGTGCTAGTTTAGTGGGTAAGTGCTAGTTTAGTGGGTAAGTGCTAGTTTAGTGGGTATGTGCTAGTTTAGTGGGTAAGTGCTAGTTTGGTGGGTTAGTGCTAGTTTAGTGGGTAAGTGCTAGTTTGGTGGGTAAGTGCTAGTTTAGTGGGTAAGTGCTAGTTTAGTGGGTATGTGCTAGTTTAGTGGGTAAGTGCTAGTTTGGTGAGTAAGTGCTAGTTTGGTGGGTGAGTGCTAGTTTGGTGGGTAAGTGCTAGTTTAGTGGGTAAGTGCTAGTTTTGTGGGTAAGTGCTAGTTTAGTCAGTTTAATTAAACATGATCAACGTTTTCATATCAAGTCGGGCTGTGGTTGGGGCTATAAGGTCGTCATGATTATTTTATGCGAGTTTGTTACATTTCCTGGTGACCGTTTTAACCAGGAAACACAGGAAGTAACTTGAATTCATTCCAACATTCCCAAATTAGTGCGGAATTTAAAACTTGGGTAGATTTTTAACTGCAAAAGAAGCTCTACTAATTTACTTCATAACAATTTATGAAATTAATTTTGTTTACACTTTAACCAATGTGAATCAGTTTATATAGTTAGCGTTGGATTCATTTTATCACCTGATGCCCATTGCCGATAGATAGATTCTTCTAGATTTTTCTAGAATCTTGTATTTGGGTATTTGCCAGTTGCAGTAGTTCCTGTATCATTATTAACCCATGAATTCTAAGAATTCTTGCAGGCTCCTTCGAATTTGGATTGTACTTCCTGATATACGAGGAATTAAAACTGGCTAAGTTGGGATATTCCTACTTCTCGCCCTCCTACAGAGAAAACTCTTATATACCTAGTAAGTAACTCTTATATACCTAGTAAGTAACTCTTACATACCTAGTAAGTAACTCTTATATACCTAGTAAGTAACTCTTATATACCTAGTAAGTAACTCTTATATACCTAGTAAGTAACTCTTATATACCTAGTAAGTAACTCTTATATACCTAGTAAGTAACTCTTATATACCTAGTAAGTAACTCTTACATACCTAGCTAAGTAAGTAACTCTTATATACCTAGTAAGTAACTCTTATATACCTAGCTTAGTAAGTAACTCTTATATACCTAGTAAGTAACTCTTATATACCTAGCTTAGTAAGTAACTCTTATATACCTAGTAAGTAACTCTTATATACCTAGTAAGTAACTCTTATATACCTAGCTTAGTAAGTAACTCTTATATACCTAGTAAGTAACTCTTATATACCTAGTAAGTAACTCTTATATACCTAGTAAGTAACTCTTATATACCTAGTAAGTAACTCTTATATACCTAGTAAGTAACTCTTATATACCGAGCAATTGCTGTTGGCAGGGTGAGTTAGTTAACTACTTTGTAGGTATAGGATTACTGATTAGGCCGCCTCGTGAAAATGTTTGCGCCTCAGCCCGCCAATTTACGGAAAGCTATGTCCTATCTCAGCAGCTACTCCTCGTAGCATACCTCTTACGGAAAATACCTAAGTAGTGAAATTAGCTGTCAGCTGAATGAACAAATGAACAATTTCACTTAACATGTCTGAGCTGTAATGTTTGGTACTGTGTATTATATGAGTCCTGCACACACACACACACACACACACACACACACACTACCTACACAGTAGTAGTATCATAGCACACTGCTGTTGGCAGGGTTACATACCAGCCATTCAGCATGTCAGTATGTACTATGTCAGTATGTTGGATATAATCTAAATTACATGTTGACAAGGCTCACTGTTCCAAATATTTCCTGTTGTTAAGGCTTATTTGATAGTTCTTGTGGTCTAGATTTCTAATATTCACGTATAGTACGGTAAATAACGTTAGAAGGTTCTAGAACTCTTATAATGTTGGGAGAATTGCCAGTAGTAATATATATATTACTACTGGCAATTCTATATATAGCTTTACTTTGTCATGAGCAATGTCCTGCGTACGTGTTATTGTGACTTGGAATAAATAAAATTACATAATATGTTACTGTAAGTTAATTTATAATATGTGGGCGATAATCGATATATAACGAAGAAAATAACTGAAAAGTTATTTTGAATAATAGCTCTGCTGTTGAATTTTCAATAAAATTTGCTTAAAATGTTAAAAAATCCTACAATATAAATAAGGAAATGGTCTTTGATCAGAAGTTTCTAGAAATATTGTATGTGTTTTTCTTGTGCTTTGTGCACAGACGACAATGCAGTGAACAGTTTAACTGTATAATGAATGGCACCAATTTCTACTATAATCGAATTCTTTGAATCCAGCGATCAGATTACAAGATGGTATCAGTTGTAAAACGTCAGAGTGTTCACAGGGAGATCCATTATCAGGCAGCTTACATCCCAACTTACCGAAACACGTACAAGAATTTCACTACATATCCGTACACATACCTCCCTGATTGATATTGCATTTTATTAGATAAGATGGAATGTGAGAGTGTTTACTCTTCACTTTTATACTAAAATGAACTAATGAACCTTAAGATCGTACCTTGATATTAATTTTAGCGGGATGAACACCCTACAAATTACAAACTGTATCGCTGCTTTTTTTCTCAAAAACAAAAAATCCAGACCATACTTTAAATATACTTTATCCAAGGTCCCTCTCATTCAGGAAATCCGCTTACTTTATGTCATCCAGATTTGTAGCCCTTGCAACAGGTGTTACAATCAGAAGAGTTCAGATGTTACGTCAGCATTACTAGGGGCGAGGTAAGCCCCAATGATGACGCTTATGTAATTTCCACACAACAGTTATGTGTAATCTTGCTGACGTAGGTGGAAGAAGTGTGAACATGGTGTAATATTGCTGACGTAACATGTGAACCGTCCCTTATCTTTTTATTTACTTTACATCATTCTCATTCACAAGATCTGGTTACTTCAAATAGATTGGTAACTCCTCCAAAGGGGTGCTACAATTTGTGATGTGTTCCAATAATTTCATGTGATTACATATTATGTGAATATTGAATATATTCATTTCCTCACGCACGTCGCACATGAGCTATTTATACACTCAGCCATGTGTAATCCACGTTTCTCTAATACTGGAAATACTCTACTGTCTAATTAAAGCAATAGTGTTGGTCAATTAGTGGCAAATATAGTATATATATAGATGTTTATTTGAAGTGTAGTGATATGACTTACGCGCTGTAATACAATCTAGATAAGGTTATAATCTTGTATTCAGGAATCGTATAGGTGTACGAAATGAGAACGTATTTTTCTATACATTGGGAGTTTAGACATCTACTTGACTAACGACATAATTGCCCCCTTTATCGAAGTTAATTTGCAAACGGGCTTTCTTACATGTAACGCGCGGCCGCCGAACGCGCGGCCGCTGAACGCTTCTCATCTGGTAATTCTCTATGGCAAGTTCAGTAATTTTCTATTTTTGGCGCGCGGCTCAGTCCAGCTACGTCATTATATTATCTGTCACGTGACTAGACCACATACGGCATAATTGAGCATCCAGCAAGTTCTAGAACAAATGGTCTGCAATACCGCTCATGTCTTTCTCTTTTGTCCAGACACAAGTCACATACTGACTACTGACCGCGTGATAAAGTAGAATAATGTGTTTGGTCACGTGAGCTTGTAGTTTGTAAAAGGAATTTCACACCGTTCATACCGAACAGTAACTGGTAAATAACTTGCCTGGGAGTTTCCGCAGATTCACTAGCGACGAACGGACTTAACGGAATATATTTTAACCTAATTATCAGCCTAAATGTGACTCAGAATGTGTCTCTGGAGTTTTACCAGGTTTGACAGTTAACTAAATCTAAACTTTTCAGCTATGCTGCATCTCTCACTGTCAGCTAGTGTCTCAAAGATAATATCCAGCACGATTATGTACCCCACCGGTAAGTTTTATACTAATCATGATTCTTTTACTGCTTTTGAGTAGTATCTGGTTAAAAATTGCTTCGTATAAAACTATAAAGCTATTGTCGTAGTTTGAAGAATTTGTTAAAAATTTAGTGAGACTCAAACTAAATTTTCAGAGGTTGTCAGGACGCGACTCCGAGAAGATCTGGAGACCTCTGAACGCAAAAGAAAGTAAGTTAATCAATTAAATACATTATTATTAAGTTGTTAGCTCACATTTTATCAGCTGTTCTTCCAATCAAATTAATCTAGCGATTGAGGAACGTTTTTATAAAAATGTTGTATCTTGCTAGACCCGGCTCATCTGAACTGATAACTTTTCTCTGTACAGGTACAGGAAGTTCTGGCGGACATGTGAGCTAATCTACAAAGAAGAAGGTCTAGTCGGAATGTACGGGGGCTGGGTTCTGCACCTTTACAAAACCATTCCCTTTACTATCATCACATTCCTCGTGTACGAGGGGTTACTGGATAAGTTTCAGAAATCCTCTTACTTTCAGAACTACTGAACAAAATATTTTTAATTAGGATAATACTAGGTAATACGTTGCTGACTTGCTGTGTTCTGTCAAAATGTGAGGCCGAAGTTGGTTGCTGAGATGAAATGGTAGTTTTGAAAAGATGATTGATCAGTGGATGGAAAGAAATGATTCATAACCTAATACGAGCTGTGCGTGATGATTGGAACAATTTAACAGTCGGAGATATGTTTGCATAATATTTCTGTACTGCTTATCATTCTAGAGACGGGAGCCCAGATCTGAAACGATTTCTCCTGGACTGCTGCTGAATTATTTGTGTCATTATTTGTTTTACCCTCTTATTCTGGCGAACTTTAATCGATTCAGTGCAGTCGTTAATGTCACAACTCAACTGCAGTATCTTATCTTTTGAGCTGCAGCAATATTAGAGGCTATCTAATCGTTTCAAGTTGAACGGTGTCATTAAAGAACTCCCAAAACTTAATTATATAGTAGTTCTGGTAAGTTATATAAAATATGAGAATTGATGGATATGAATTGATGGTTGGGATTTGGATGGTAGATATCTGGATTGTGCCCTGATTATCAAACGTTCTACTACACAGTGCCCTTAACTATAATCAGTTCTCTGACACCAGATTTCCTGAAAAAAAACCTAGCTACACTTCAAAAAATTCATAATCTTTGCTTTTACATTTTTTATGGAATTTATACCCAAGAGAAATTTCCGAAATGATTAATGAAGAACTGGATTCAGTTCCAAATTTGTGATCAAAGTCACCCAAAGTTAAATGTTTAATTTGTTATATGTGTTGATTTTCCTTCTGTAAATAAATCTTTCTAGCTAGAAATTAAGATTACATTTATTATTCTTAAAATTGTCTAAGAAGTAAGAATAGAAAATAATTAAAATCGTCGTTTTACTATACAATATTGGTTATAGACAGATATTATGTTGTTTCTATTAATATTAACTTATAGATTTATGAACAGCGAGGTTTTGGATTTTTTCTAGTCGATTTTGCAATATTCTATAGTCAGATTATATAGATAGTTGATATTCACATCTTATAAAGCCCATGGTAGCTATACTTAAAAAACAATTGTTCGCTTTTTCATTTATGGTAACCTAGAGATCGTTCACAAACTAGATATTTTGTACACCCTCCGATAGTAATCTTACAAATAGCCCTTGAGTAAAAGTTACACTACAATTCAATTTACATAAACATTTCCTTTAACATGTGAACGATCTCTTATGATTCGGATTGTAAAATATCCAATTTGTACGTTGTTGCTGCTTTGTTATAGCTTTTTAGTTCTTTGATATAACTCTATGCGTTGTTATTGTTTAGCAAAACTCACGTGACCATGACCAAAATTCTATCAAACATTTATCCGATCTTTTAAAACTTATGAGAAAATCAACTGTTGTTTGAGTAAATACAATTGGACAAGCAAGTCTCAACATGCATTAATCACTCTGCAGATGTATTTCTTTCATTAACGAGTGTTTTGTTGTGTGATAGAGATAGTGTTTTTGTTGTGTGATAGAGATAGTGTATGCCTGTAATTTATCTCAAAGAAGACCTCGTACTTTCCAGTCTTTACTCCGCAGCTGTCCCGTTCTCAACATTTGCTTTAAGTTTGATGGTTCTATACCGAGTAACTTTAACAGTTTAGCAATTGCAGATAATTTCATGTCCAACGGAGTGTGTCACCACTAACCATCAGACGTCGTTTATTTGTTACCTACTACAAAGAAGTATCTCCAGCTAAAGACTAGTACTACTCTTACTGATCCGATAAGAATCTGTCCTTGTGTTCATTCTGCCAAAAGAGAAGGTAGCATTACAAGTTGTAACAGAATCCCGCCACTACCAGCCTTCTTCCATCTCACTCGCTAATCAGAAATGGTATTAGAAGTTCTAGCTCTCTTTCCCCGGCTCGCCCCCTTCAAAGTCATCACCCTTGACGATGTGTGGGACCAGTGGAACAGGAGCTTCATGTTCATCATGACCGTCCTGTTTGGGAGTATAGTCACTATACGGTCATATACTGGGAGTGTTATAGAGTGCGACGGCTTTTTAAAGGTGTGGAATCCGCGTTTTTATTAAATATTACATTAGTGATCATGTTGTGTGCGTGTGGGGCAAGACTTACTGAGGTCAGAGCAGGCAGATTAATTTTTAAAACCTCCATATGACATGGTCCGGGTTCATGTGCAGTCACTGTAGGACTTCAGTGGCATATTTAAATAGAAATTCAGCGATCTAGACTAACTTAAGCTTTAGTTTACAATTTTCCATATCGACAACGGAAAAGCTTTTGGCTACAGGGCATTATGATTGGATTTCCATTTTCCAATGTAAACTAATTTCTGTTTCACGGAGCTAACAAGTGCAGTGTAAATGTGCCGTTAGACCGGCACGTTAACGATTTCACATGGGAATAAGAGGCAATGAGGCACTAAAGTTGAAGCTAACTCCACCCACCTAAAGGAACATGCCGTCTACTAAAATTATGATGTATCAGCATTAAGATCAAGAAGAGGCTTTATTTATTTAAGAGATGCCTTAAAACAGCTCCCATCCCAAACTCCCACTTGTAAAAACGAGTTCACGTCCAAATTATCCGTGATTTTTGTTGTGTTCGAGTCTATTTTTGGCAAGCGAATCACCAACTTTAAGTGGAGTTAGCTTCAGTGCATCGTCTACTTGTGAAATATCGTTGATTTATCAAAATACTGTTAATACAGTAATGTGTTACTCAGGTTCCGGTTGAGTTTGCGAAGGATTATTGTTGGACGCAAGGGATCTACACTCTAAGAGAAGGCTACGACTACCACAGCTCCATTTTGCCTTACCCGGGTTCGTGACAACTTGGTAGCTTAAATTAAAGAATACTATGAGGGCCATTATTTAATGACACCGAGAAGAAATTTCAATCATTTTCACTATTAATTATTATTTTCGTTAGTTAACTTCTTACCTGCATAATGATAATGCGTATTAACTAGCTAAAAAGTTAATCTAAAGTCTATACACGAGCTTCCTCAGGAGTATTTCCTGAAGATGTACCAGGCTGCTTGGATAAAATTCTCGACAACGGAGGCAGGATTGTTTGCCCTTTGGAAAAGAAATACGCCAAATTTCAGAGGTAATAGTAGTTGCTTGACGTTGAGATCTGAACTTTATTTGGGCTATGATTTTCTGCTTTTTTACATATTTCATTGCTTCAACGTTTGAATCCTTCTATCACAGAGTTTACCATTCTTGGTACCAGTTTACTGCATTCTACTTCTGGACCGCTTCCTGCGCTTTCTTCCTACCCTACATGATGTTCAAATTCTTCGGTAGGAGCTAGTTAAACAGATTTGGAAATTCTTTTGACGAAATTATAAATCTTGAATACTAAATCCGAACACAGCATTCTCTCATTCTACTCAAAACATTGAGGATGATATGAGCTCTATAGTCTATAAGTATATACCTACTCCTTTATACTTTTATAGCTTAGAAGACGATGACAATTTCTAAATGGCGATATAACTCTGACGTTTTATTTGATGTACCTTGCAGGTATGGGTGACCTGAAGCCGGTGATATCAATGTTACACAATCCAGTGGAGACAGCAGAAGAACTAGACATGCTCACTAAAAAGGCTGCCAGGTCAGTAGCTCTTTTTATTCCTGTTTTTAATCTTGAGTTTCCGTCCTGCATAACCCCTGTTTTCTGTCCTGTATAACTCGTCATGTCAAAGCCAGACACTTGGTTTTAATTATTGTTCTACGATCTGTATGTTATTCATCTAACCCCAGGTGGCTATACGTTCGGGTTCACGCCTACATCCACACCGACCAGTACTACGGAAAGAGAGTAGAGAAGCACCTCCTCTTCTTCTCCATCATGCTCACTAAATCCTGCTATCTCCTCTTTTCTGTTATCCTCTTCTGGCTGACCGAGAAGATGTTCCACATTGGCAGCTTCATGAGTTACGGGCTTGACTGGGCTGCTGAAGAATCAGAGGTAGTGACAATGACCATGACGTGACAGTGACCATGTGACAATGACAATGCTATTTTTTTCTTGCTTTACGGTCGTGCTTTCTCGAGAGTTTTGTTTTCTATTTATACTCATGTTACACACTCATGTTTACACTATGTTACAGCTCATGTGATCAACATATTAATGAGAAGGAGAATACTCACACTGAGTTACACTGAGTGAAACTGATGTGACCAAGGTTTTTATCGAGAGATTAACTTAATTCTTATCTCAGCCTGGCGAGGATTACAAAAGTCTGATACAAGACAAGCTCTTCCCAAAGATGGCTTCCTGTGAGATAAAACGCTGGGGAGCTACAGGTAAATATTTTCTTAGAAGCTCGGTGACAGAATTTTGTGTTTAATTAAAAGATATTAAAAGAAGTTATGCGAAAATAGTGATCATTTTTGTCGCAGGTGAGTGATATTTTTGGTAGACATTCATTCATTATTTAATTAAAAAACCAAAACTGTACCCAACCGTGAACTGGGCCAATAAAGGCACCATGCTTTGCTTGATCCCGGTTTGTGAGTGCTGACAAGCTAGCGTGTTGCAGGAATTGAAGAAGAGCAAGGAATGTGCGTTTTAGCGGCCAACGTTATTAACCAATATCTCTTCCTAATCTACTGGGGAGGGATGGTTATCACTGTTATCGTTAACGTTCTCTCTGTCCTGATAGCCCTCAGCAACCTCTGCTTCATCGAGGGAGCTTACAGGAACCTACTCGCTACAGCCTTCCTCCGGGATGAACCCGCTTACTCGGAGATCTGGAGGAAATCAGGAACCTCGGGCCGTGTGATCCTGCAACTGATCGCAAAGAATGTGAACCCCAAGATATTTGAGCACGTGTTGAATGAGCTGGTTAACTTGTTGAGAATGGCTGACAGGTCAGGGTTTGATTCTAGAGCCGAGGAGGAGGATGAGTTTGTACATCCTGACAATGAAATGGAGTTTGAAGACACTTTGTAGTCTCGCTAGTTCAACTAGGTTATGTTAGTTCAATCATATAGGCTCCTTAAGTTCAAATAAGACAGCGTCTTGGTGACGGTGAAACCTTCAAAATCAAAGTTGGTAGCGATGAATTACAGAGGCACTAGAAAAGGTGTACTTTTACACAGACGTCACACAGGAATGATGCCGATTAAATATAGGATCACTAACTTTTTCCAGTCGAAGAAGTTTCTGTTGTTTTTAATTTAACAGCTAACAGTAACGTTATCTTGCCACATCGGGCATGGAAATTATTTTATGTCGTTTAATATTAATACCTTCGAAGAATTACATCAATTTATAAGATTTATTTTCGTTTAAGGAAAAGCTACGCCAACGGTCCACTGTAGCCAATTTAAGACTTCTGTAACTACTAAATATGTTGTATGTATATATATATTTTATAAATTGAATTATTTGCAATTATTCTCATAGTTTTTATTGGTTCATGCATAGATTATCGTTAATACTATCAAGATCAGATAATACAGAACGATTTGAATCGAATCTCAACCAAAGTAAGATAAGACCAAGTCTATCAAATGAGACATAGATAAAACATGCCAACACCAAATTTTAAAGTTCTTGTGATAAATCCGGAAAAATCTCGAATCATGCCCAAGAAGTGCAGCTATTTCGACAGCATTTAATCGACAGCGCAGTTAAAATTTTACACCATTAAAATACAATAGCAAACTTTAAAATGAGTTTAAAACTCCAAAAATTTATTCATAGTCAATTTTCCAATGTCTGGTATGTTGCTTAATTAAGCATCTTTAGATTGTTTCTCGGACTGGTACTGCTGGACAGCCTTGCTGATGGTATCCTGGACAAAGATTTCAACTTCTGCTTCGCTCAACGGCTTATCTTTATCTCCGCTAACAAGTTGGTTATCTTCTTCAATCACACCAGAAATTTCTTCACAGTTATCCTGCCCTCTCCCTGTCTCACCCTCTACAGCTGCTATCTGACTATCGTCTTCGATATCCACGAGATTTTCTTCCTGGACATCATATTTCTTCTCAACTACGGCAGTAATATGATCAACATCTTCCTTCTCAACTACGGCTGCTATTTGATCATCTTCTCCTTCTACAGGAGTAACCTGGTCGTCAACTTCAACCAATGCCTGGACATCATCTTCCTTTTTAACTACGGCTGCTATTTGATCATCTTCCCCTTCTACAGGAGTAACCTGGTCGTCAACTTCAACCAATACCTGGACATCATCTTCCTTCTCAACTACGGCTGCTATTTGATCATCTTCCCCTCCTACAGGAGTAACCTGGTCGTCAACTTCAACCAATACCTGGACATCATCTTCCTTCTCAACTACGGCTGCTATTTGATCATCTTCCCCTCCTACAGGAGTAACCTGGTCGTCAACATCAACCAATAGCTGGACATCATCTTCCTTCTCAACTACGGCTGCTATTTGATCATCTTCCATTTCTACTGCAGTAACCTGATCGTCAACATCAACCAATAGCTGGACATCATCAACTACGGCTGATATTTGATCATCTTCCCCTCCTACAGGAGTAACCTGATCGTCAACATCAACATATAGCTGGACATCATCTTCCTTCTCAACTACGGCTGCTATTTGATCATCTTCCTTTTCTACTGCAGTAACCTGATCGTCAACATCAACCAATAGCTGGACATCATCAACTACGGCTGATATTTGATCCTCATCTTCCTTCTCTACAGCTGCTATAATTTGACTATCATCTTCGATATCCACAAGATTTCCTACATGATCTTCATCTTCCTTCTCTACGGCTGTTATTTGATCTTCATCTTCCTTCTCTGCAACTTCTAACCGATCAAAATCTTCTTTCTCTACGACTGTTTCCTTATCATCAACTTCACTGACTTCTGCGGCTGTTACCGGATCATCATAATTCTCCTGACTTGCAGAATCCCACTCTTCACTTGCAGGTGCATCAACTTGCTGTTCTGTTATAATCTGCGCTTCCGATTGTGTCTCAGCTAATATGAGGCTATTCTTGTTCTCGACTACTAGTTGATCAGGGGGAGTGTCCCTATCCTGTCCTTTAGTTCGTCTGTCTGTATATTGTTTGAAGAACTCTGTCAATGTCCGCTGGTCGACGTACTTCTCAATCTTTGACCGGAGAAACTGTTTAGTAGGCTCTTTCAACTTGTCCCAGAAATCAAGCACGATGCACATTATAAGCAAGTAGATAAGATAGGAGGCGATAAACGTGGACGTCTTTATGACGACATCATATGTGACGTCATGAAGGGAGTGTGTGACGTCATCAGCGCCTAGGAGGACTGAGTCAACAGCCTCTTCTGTTCGCTCTGCTATCTCTTCCATCTCTGTTTCACCATCAAGTTATCATTTTCTAATAAATGTACTTTGTTAGTGGGGCCACTGTGTTGTCAATGTGTTTATCGACCAAATCAGTACAATATGGCACGTGCCAGAACACAAAATAAAAAGACGCTACTAAAACTTAACCCATTTAAAATTTTGTGACGATACATTTTTTCAAAGCAGCCGTACAAAAGGCTGCGAACAACTTTAAAACTAACGGAATGTAACAAAGGTAGAGGGTTCTAAAGCAAGTTAATGTGAAAATGTACACTAATGGCCTCCCCAATGACAGATACACTGCTGTTTAACAAAGGAAGGGTGCTATTTTGACTTTGTATTGTCAAACATTCGCATTTACCTAGAGTTGAACCCTCCTGTACAGTGCTGGACACTGGATCTAGTGTAAGATATATAGCATCGCATAAAATGCACTGCACAAACAAAGCTCTACAAGCAGCGTATATTATACGATTATACGTATTCTGCTAAGTGGTCTGCAGGGATCTCGAGAAAAAGAACCTGGGAACTGATCGCTGCACATAGGTGACAGCGATCTTGCTGCAGATAGAAGAGAAAGCGACCTTTAATAAAATGCAGCTTTGCTGTTATTAAATGTTAATCTGGCATGGTTCTGACAGCGGGTACTGACTGTATGTTCAGCTGAGAACAAGCGGCCGGCTAAACTAGTAAAGGCACACTTTAACAGCAAAACTGAATTAGGACTAATTGGTGTTCTGAGGTAATCAAAAGGATATCCAATCATGCATGCAGTGTGGGTGCCATCTACGGTGGGTCACAACTTTCATGTTTGTACGGCCCTTTTACATATTACTCATTTTAATCACTTGTCAGTCTATGCATGTGACTCATGGACGTTTCACTTTAGTTAGTGGTGCATTGCGTATTTTAATCGATGTTTTTGCTAAAACATAAACATCGCAATTTGTAAATAAATCTGAGTTTAAATGAGTAAATGGCTTGATTCGATGAAATCTAAATGTCTTGATTCTCTAGTTTTATAAAAATGGCGAATTTGGGCGAATTTTAACAAATTGTTTTAGAAAGCCCGGATTTTACTTGTACTTGGCAAGAGTATTGGGCGCTTATAATTATCATATTAATAGTGTAATATGTAGGCTGTTTGCAGCAGTTTTAGAGTAGTTTTAGCAGTTGTGTAGATTGTAATTTAGTGATTAATATGACCGTTAGTAATGAGTGTAGATTTAGGTAGTTAAGTGACCACGTGGTATCACGTGGCGCGTGTCGATAACGCATTTCTGGACACGTTAGGATTAGTTCTGGAAAAGCTCTTTAGGTGACGTGTTTAATCAAAGTGTTAACCGCTGATCTAGAACGCCCAACGTGGCCCGTCTTGCCACAGTTTAAGTTGTGATTGTTGATAATATCTTTATATTCATCATTCGAACGTTATTAATCGATTCAACTGTTTCCCTTGTTCAACACTAGCGTAGGAACGAATTATACCACATTATACCGTTCAAATTAAAGTTGCCTCACCTATTTCCGTGTGGGGTAAATTAGTAAGCTTTCGATACTCGAAGATCGTGTTTCAGTCAATTCAGAGTAAGTGCAAGTTCTAAGAGTTTAGTGGTTCTACTAGCGTTCGTAACGAGTTTATATTTCCCATTTGACTCATATTCTCGATATTAACACCTTAGTATCCCTTTCTGTTAATTCCGTGTACGGTACTAGAATATCGTATTTGTTATATTAACGTAGAGTTCAATACTTAGATATTGTGAGTTATTGCGGTTGTCAGTCGCTAAGAACGACTGAGAGTATAGTGTGTAGTGTGAGAGGATTTGTGAGCAGGCACTGTATACCATTGGTACGCCCGGGAGGACTGGTCTAGGTGCCATCTTATTTTACACTATCTGGAGAACCTAGGAAAAGTGGTACCATGTCTGGACTCGTAGAGATGGAAAAGAATCTGAAGGAACTGGCAGAAAAGAGTGAGCTAATTTTGGATGAGATGGTGGAAATGAAAATGGAAATGAAGAAATTAGACTCGGATGATGATAAGGATCAGATAAAAGAAAAGAAGGTGGAGTTGTTTGATTTGAGCGAGAAGAGAGAGGAGTGTTTGAGCAGAGTGAGAGAGTTGGAGAGAGATATGATCAAGTGGAGACAGGACGCAGAACTTGAGCGAGAGGGATTGATGAGGGATCAAGAAGTAAAGTTGGAGCACACGAGCAACTTATTTCAAGAAAGAGTGAGAACTACTGAGAGTGATGATTTGCAACCCGGAAATACAGAGAGAGATAAGGGAGTATACACGATGAAGTGTAAGGCGCCTAGGTATAGGAAGAATGATGACTTTTGTACATTCTTACAGAGATTCGAGCAATGGGTCCTGTTATGCGGAGTAAAGGACAATCTAGACTTGAGGCTAGCAAATCAGATAGAAGACGATGCAAAGTTCAAGAAAGTCAAGAACATTCGGCTGTTGAGTGAGGAGAGAGGTGACGTGAAAATGCTGATCAGTGCGGTGAAACGAGAGCTATATCCCGCTACTGATGCGAGAATTATGAGAACAACGTTTCACAAGATGAGACAGGAAGCGTTAGAGAGCGTAGAGCAGTTCGCAGAGAGAATACAGGACACTGCTGAGAAGATTTACCCGAGAGCTGTGGAGAGAGAGAGTGCAGGTATCACTGTGTTGATACAGGGCGTGAGAGACCCTGCTATTAAAAGACGGCTCCTTCAGATGAACACGGAGACAGAGGATTTTGATAGTGTGATCCGTTTAGCTGTACAGGAGGAACACATATCCAAGGCAGTAGAGGGAGAGCTTGACAGTGATCCAATAAATACACTGGAATTCAGGGCACCTACTTATGGTGTTGGCAGGCAAGGTGAGAAAGAAGAGGATGAGAATGACTGTCAAATGTGTGGGAAGAAGGGTCACAAGGCTGACTCGTGTTGGAGCAATATAGTGTGCCAGCTGTGTGAAGGTAAAGGGCACGTTGCCAGTGTTTGCAGGAGAAGAGTGGGTCCGGTTGAGCAGAGCAGCAGAGGAGCGAGTAGAGGTGCGAGTAGAGGAGCGAGTAGAGGGGCGGATAGAGGTGCGAGTAGAGGAGAGAGTTGCAGGCCATTGATTTGTTATAATTGTCACGGTGAGGGTCACATTCAAAGATTCTGCAACGTCGACAGAGGGCAATCTGGAGGACGAGGAGGGCAGTACAGACCCACAGAAACTGAACAGTATGGAATGCAGAGAGACCATTTAAACTAGCGTGCGACTGGACAAAATTAATTCCCCGTCAGTCGCAATCAAAATCATCTGGGGAGCAGAAGGAGATAAATGCAGTAAACTGGGAGCACATCTTGGTGGCTGGGAGTTGCAGAGGAGTGGCAGCCTACCTTTTTGTTGACAGCGGGTCGGCTGTGAGTATTGTTTCCACGGGTTTTGTGAGAGAACTTGGTCTAGAGAGCGGGATCCGACCGTGTGGCATGACATTGAAGTCATTTTCTCAAGACAAGATACAAATCAGGGGAGAGTTAGAGCTACAGGTGGTAGTTGCTGGCAGTAAATTTGTACATTCCTTCGTGGTAACTGATCTGTTAGACACTGAATTCCTGATTGGAGATGATTTTTTGAGGTCAAATAGGGTAACTCTGGACTACAGCAAGTGCAGACTGGTGCTGACTAATGGAGATAGTGTACCATTCACGGAGAAGCCGGAGAATGTCAAGCAGCAGATAAAAGTTAGATGTAGCAAGGTCACAATTATTCCTCCTAACACGGTGCAGTACATCAGGGGAAAATTACAGGCGAAAGGAGTGAATTTTAAAGGTGTGATTAAGCCACAGTACAAGCAAGGTATTGGGGACATGGGCATTTCATTCGCTCATGCAGTTGTGCACTCTGATAAAAGATTGGTCCCGATAAAGTGTGTTAACTCTACTGATGAGCCAATAACGATCCGCAAAAACAAGATCGTCGCACTATTGAAACCTGTAGGCGGTAAGAAATTTATACACGGCGTGCAGAGGATCAGAGGTCAAGATATCGGTGTTAGAGGGACTGCGATTGATAGACAAGCTCAGGAGAACAGGGGTCAGGCAGAAAAGTTCTGTGGTGAAAGATGGACTCAGAATGAGTTGTTGGAGAGTCACGGGCTGAACATGATAAAGGCGACAAAGTCTAATGCTGAGGAGGACAGACGAAGCAGATTTCCATTCAGAAGGAGTTTTGCGGAAGCATCGTGCCAGACAGAGGTCATTCTAGATGAGAAATCGGGAGGAGAGGAGTTTACCAGGTCTGCGGGTGTCAATACCATTCTGAGTCACAACGCTTCAGCCGTTAGTGAATCCTTCAGTAATGTTACACGTGATCACAACGCTTCAGCCGTTAGTGAATCCTTCAGTAATGTTACACGTGATCACAACGCTTCAGCCGTTAGTGAATCCTTCAGTAATGTTACACGTGATCACAACGCTTCAGCCGTTAGTGAATCCTTCAGTAATGTTATACGTGATCACAACGCTTCAGCCGTTAGTGAATCCTTCAGTAATGTTACACGTGATCACAACGCTTCAGCCGTTAGTGAATCCTTCATTAATGTTACACGTGATCACAACGCTTCAGCCGTTAGTGAATCCTTCAGTAATGTTACACGTGATCACAACGCTTATTCCGTTAGTGAATCCTCTGAGAATAGTTTTGGTGTGATTAGTGACGTAGATAACGTCATGTGCGGTATGGGAGAGAACAACAAAGTGTGTAGTAGTGGGAGCGAGATAGTAATCGGTGATGGAGCACATGGCTGGAAGAATGAGATAATGAGAGACACGGTGAGAAGTGATAGTGATAGTGGGGATAGTGATAGCAGTAGTGACGAGGAGTTGTGGATGCCTGAGCAAGTGGAGAGAGGGAGTTTTGTGGTTCGAGAGAGTACCTTGTCTAGTCAGAATATTGATATTCCTGACGTACCTCTATCACCGGAATATACACTTCCTTTCAGAACGGAAAGTCAGGACATTTCAATCCAACATGACCCTCAGACACCAGATAGGGTTAACACTCCGATTCACATTTCATCACCGATCCAGAAGACGGGATCAAGTTTTGGATCTTTCTACACACCCGGGTGGAGCAGAGGGGTTGAGGAACCTACATCCGGGATAGAGGATAGTTTAAGTCCTGTCGAGCTGGGGGAGAGTAACAGTACACTAGCTTACTTACCTGAGGAACAGAGTACGCCTGTAGTCAGTGGAGGACGTTCTCTAAGAAATAGAGCTCAGTTAAAGAGGCCGGATTACTTTAGACCGGTATCAAGAATTAATGCTGTATTGAAGAGGGTAAAGAGAAAACTTGGGTTTTAGAGGATTGCTGGTCACGGGATGCCAGTTAACTACCTGTTGCTCGGGCAGATACGACGATTGTTGTCATATTTTGCAGACTACCTGGAACCTGTGGAAGGTAGTCATCGTTGCATTTCTTATCTCCCGCCGTGCTTAGGGTATGCCTGGTGTCATTAATGTCGGTTGATATGGTTGAGTGATGTATGTGTTTTTTTAGGAGGGCTTGATACCCTGGAGAGTGGAGAGTTTGCGAGAGTCGGAGTTAGTTGTTGAACCGTGGAGTAGAGTAGAGTGTAGAGGTTGAGTCACATTTTAATCCGGTAGAGCATCGCTCCTGATGCCTAGATTTGCCTTTAGTTGACTTTTGATATTCGTGTGCCGATAAGGTCTTAATCTAGATGATTGGACTTCATATCTATAAATATGACGGTCTGCAGTGACTTATGTGAAGTTATGTTCGTAACTAGGTGTACGGAGATAATTGTGTAAGTTATGTTCGTAACTAGGTGTACGGAAATAATTGTGTATGTTATGTTCGTAACTAGGTGTACGGAGATAATTGTGTAAGTTATGTTCGTAACTAGGTGTACGGAAATAATGGTGTAAGTTATGTTCGTAACTAGGTGTACGGAGATAACTATGCAAGTTATGTTCGTAACTAGGTGTATGGAGATAATTGTGTAAGTTATGTTCGTAACTAGGTGTACGGAGATAATTGTGTAAGTTATGTTCGTAACTAGGTGTACGGAAATAATGGTGTAAGTTATGTTCGTAACTAGGTGTACGGAGATAATTATGCAGGTTATGTTCGTAACTAGGTGTACGGAGATAATTGTGTAAGTTATGTTCGTAACTAGGTGTACGGAGATAATTGTGTAAGTTATGTTCGTAACTAGGTGTACGGAGATAATTGTGTAAGTTATGTTCGTAACTAGGTGTACGGAGATAATTGTGTAAGTTATGTTCGTAACTAGGTGTACGGAAATAATGGTGAGTGTTATGTTCGTAACTAGGTGTACGGAGATAATTGTGTAAGTTATGTTCGTAACTAGGTGTACGGAAATAATGGTGTAAGTGTAGGTTCGTGCCTAGATGTACGGGACCTGGATTAGGAGTATGGTTGTGGAGGACGTGTTCAACAACGGGTGGTGTGGACGGAGAGACGGGGGATGGTGGACTTCAACTTCAAAAGAACATCAGGGCAGAAGGAGTAAGAAGAGTAGGAAGGACAATTAGGAGAAGGACAATTAGTAGGGTAGCAAGTTGTATTTATAAATTTGTTTTATATATTTGAATTTTATTACGTGAAGGTTGTCACGAAGTTGTATAAATTTGTTTGTTTGTAAAACGTGAGTTGTTTCACGTAAAGTTTTTAATATTCAGAATTGGTACGTGTTGTAACACGTATTTTTATATAGATTTTTAAAATTTTATATTTTTGTAGCACGTGTAAATTTTTTAAAGGGTAGTTTTTTTCGCGTGAGTTGCATCACGGGGATTTTGTTGGTATTTTTATTTTTAGGGTGTTGTTTAAGAGGGAGAGTTAAAGGATTTAGTAGGTAGGGGGGGATTTAGTCGAATTTGTCAATACCTCTTGGAGATATTGACGAAATCGATTAAATTTTCCCGGGGGATATAGTGTAATATGTAGGCTGTTTGCAGCAGTTTTAGAGTAGTTTTAGCAGTTGTGTAGATTGTAATTTAGTGATTAATATGACCGTTAGTAATGAGTGTAGATTTAGGTAGTTAAGTGACCACGTGGTATCACGTGGCGCGTGTCGATAACGCATTTCTGGACACGTTAGGATTAGTTCTGGAAAAGCTCTTTAGGTGACGTGTTTAATCAAAGTGTTAACCGCTGATCTAGAACGCCCAACGTGGCCCGTCTTGCCACAGTTTAAGTTGTGATTGTTGATAATATCTTTATATTCATCATTCGAACGTTATTACTCGATTCAACTGTTTCCTTTGTTCAACTCTAGCTTAGGACCGAATTGTAGCATTTGAACCGTTTGATTCACAGTACCGCACTTGGTTGCATGTATGTAGTAGTCATATCAGAGTAATTGGCAATACAAGTTATCGTGATTGTCGTATTAACGTAGAGTTCAATACTTAGTTATTGTGAGTTATTGCAGTTGTCAGTCGCTACAACGACTGAGTGAGTAGTGTATCTTGTGAGTACACCTTTGTGAGCAGACACCGTATACCATTGGTACGCCCGGGAGGACTGGTCTAGGTGCCATCTTATTTTACACTATTAAAGTCGAGGTATCATGAACTGTAGAGGAAGAAGATGATAGAGCAAAGGATCGTACATTTGATGGACTGAAATATATTTTATATCGAATAATCTTTGGAACATGTTGATGAGAAACCGGACTATTGTGGTTCATTTGGTACAATTGGGGTAATCCTGAGAAATTCTGATGAAGTTAAACTTTACAACATACTACGAAACTTCGATGAACTGATTGTCTAAAAAAAGGCAGTGCTGCATTAAAATATTCAAAAAAGTTAAATGAGTGGATGAAGGAGACAATTGAAATGGTTCTACCTCAGTAGTCAGTACCACTTCATTCGGAACAATAGTACGTAATTGTAATATAATTAGTGATGTCTTCTCGTGATTTATATCGATCGATGGAATAGCTTAAATATAATAGTGGGCAGTAGCTACTGCTGGATAGTAAAATATCTATATTTTGCCGCGCGCGCGCGCCATGCCACAATATCAGTAGCACGTGAAACGTTTTGTTACCATGGTGACGCGTCACCTTTAACTT